TATAAAGAATCCGTATTTATATCATTTCTTTGAGTTCTTAATTTTTTCTTTCTAAATTTTTTTATTAAATTTAAAGATTTCATACTTGATACATGTAATTTTATATTTCATCATATTTGTATTTTTTCATTTCAGCTTCTTTTTCTTGTACCACTGAAACTTCGTTCACAGAATAATTGCGTACATTTTGAAGTTGTGTACCTGCTTATATGAAATTGTATGAGGAATTTCCCCCCATTTTTCCCTTAATTCTGATCTTGATGATTGTTTTCCAAAATTTTCAAAGATGGTACTAATTTTGTGTAATCAACTCCTGCAGTTTTCAATTTCAATCTTTTTAACTTCACACAATGATTGTACAAATATTTAAGTTATCCACTTGGTACTATGGAATTGTTTGATAATTTTTTTCCTGACTTGGGAACTAAGTAATTTTTCATCAAAGGTAAAATAAATAGTTTTTAACCCATATCTTTTGGAATTCACAGAGAGTTTGCGAATCTATAGAGGCTTTTACAAATTTTGGGACTATACATGACTACTATGTACATGAGTAGTAAACCTTGAAAATGAGATATTTTTGGTTAAACTATGCTTCAAAATATTTAAAAAATGTTGATTTATATGTGTTTATTATACTATTACTACACTGTACTTTTTTTCTTACATTTGTATAAGTATTTTCATATCAGATGTCTGGTAACTTATATAAAAGCTATTATCTAGAGCTCTGTAAATAAAAAAAAAATGTAAACATAGTTCTAAAATATACTTTTAATGAGTGGAAGAAATTGTGGGGTACAGAATACATTTCGTAAATTATCAAAATACAAGTTACCTGTTTAAAAGCATGTCTGGTATTTTTACATTTTTTTTAAATGAATTAATAAATTATTTGTATTTTAAATTGAGAATTTCTTCAGTTTCCATGATTGGAAAAATAATGTGAGATGCCTTGAAACATTCTGGTGACTATTGTACATTTTATAATGTACAATGGAAAGGACATTTCATTACTTAGATAAAATGGATTCAGTGGACTGATTAGCATAAAAAAAACTATGATGGAAAACCTTTGAAAGCAGCCAGGATAGCAGCTCCAAGGAAGATGGTCAAATAAATCTTCAACCAAGTCTGAGGCTTTACCAAGAAATGAAGAAGGCAAGTTTATTTAAGCCAAATATTTGTATACATTTTCTAGAAATATTCGACAAGAAGTGCTGCAGTGATATTAAGACAACACGCCAGCACCCTTCTGATCTTCTGCATGCAAAACACCATTGATGTATTAATTTTAATAAGTTTTATAATTTAAGTTACCATTTTCTTGAACAAGATTTTCGATCAAAATATTTAAAACTTCAAGGGAAGACAAGTACAATTAACAGCAAGATTTGTTCATTCAATGGGATATAACTGATAAATTAGCACATCACTTTTGTGAAGTTAAATTCCAAACAAAATCCTTTGGCTTGTTTTATTTTTATTATGTCAAGTTTTCTGTTTAGTCAGGTTAATAGTTACTCCTTGCTATAGATCCATGACATTTTGTATTTATTTGCATTACTTAGTATAGTATTACTTTGTATAACAAATTATCGAATTAATTAGCAATGTTGCTAATCATCAGATGTTTTTCATTTTCCGCTGCTAGGCGAGACATCTCTGTCAACAGTTTTTCTTACAAACTTGTGTTGATACTATTGTGTACATTTTGTAAGAAATCAGAACATTATATAGTGACTTCATATTTATAGAGAAATGGATTTGTAAAATATATAATGTGTCTTTTTTAATTCTTTTTAGGTTCTTCTGTGATATGTTTTCATGGTGTGGGAATAAGACTTGGTGGTCTAATACAGCTAATACGAAGGTATGTACCAGTATGTTAGTCCTGTTTTGAAAAAAGAAAAAGTATTATAAAATGTATTTGGAAATAGCATGTGCTCTAAGCGTTAAGGTTTGTAGGAGTTTGGTAAGAAGTCTTTGCTTTCTTTAATTGCCTTTAAAGGAGTAAATTTAATTATCTGATTTGATTATGTAAAAGTTTGTTGGGATGCTGGTTTTGCTGTTCTCAACTTCTATTACATATTTATAGACTTTTATTTAATTTGCCACTGGACATTTAGCAACCAACAATCAAATGAATCAATCATTCAAAATATGGAATATACATACAGTATATCAAAAATGATCCTTTTAAACAATCTTGAATGACTAATTTTATTTTTCAGGTTAGCAACACAGCTTGTCTGTAAAGATTGAAGCTGGGAGTTGGCATTGGAGCTGAATTTTATGGTAAGAACCAATACAAAAAAAAAATATGTCAAAAAAGAAATATGTTAGACATCTACCATTGACTTGTTTTTCATCCTTTTCTGCTAATAAAGACTGGTAGTTCAAAAAATATATCAGCAAATCACTTTTAAACAAAGTAAGAGAAAGGTTTTATGAATCATGATTATAATGACCAGTTATTTATTATTTTGCATTTGATATTGTTTCAATTTCCAGATTTTGACAATTACGTTTAATTCTGTATATTTCTTTTTCAGGTAACTGTGGCTGCATAAAAGGGCTATGTGATTTTACTGTAACAGTAAAGAATGTAATTCAGACTATTTTTGTGTATGTTTGAGAAAATGTTTATAATTTTTACAAAAAGAAAAAAAAAATTATGTACAGGTTCTCCATTTTCAACAAGATTGGAGGTTGTAGGTTAATAGGTCTTTGAAATTTCAAAAATTACTTTCTATTTTCTGTTCATACTCATGTCTAGGCAAAACACTTCCAGTAGTTTAAGAATGGAGAATCTAAAGAAAAAGAAAAGAAAAGAAAAAAAGAAAAAGAAAAAAATGTTCAATTATTGAAATGTTTTTTATTTTTGCAAATTGTAATATATTTTTTCACCTTTGTGTCATTTTTAGCTGAGTTTATAACAAAGGGTATATTATTTTAAGAATATTTTACAAGAAGCATAGTTGAAGAAAATCTTGATGAAAGTAGATTGATTGATTTTTGGTATTTAACACCACTTTCAGCATGATGTGCTATATCTTGGCTGCCAGTTTTTATTTGTGGAGACAGCCTAGTGAAAACATCCCCTCCAACAGAGAAACTGGCAACTCTAGTCAATTAAGATTGATCTTATACACACCTACAATGTGAGGGTTCAGAGTGTTGACAGGCTAGTGATACAGTAGTTGAACTACTTTGACCATCCAGCCACCATTACTCCATCTGCACTAAATATGTTATTGAAATGTGTTGAATTTTTGTAATTTAATTATTTTTTTATATTGATTACCGGTAATTACTATTTATGTTTTTTTGTTATATATAACAAAGATGTGGAGTTCTAACAGGGTGAAATTTAGGTCAAAGGGAGGTAATTTATTATACTGTGTTTAACTTCAAATACTTGAAATTCCCTCAATGTTAGATTTTTATTTACTTTGATACTCACATTTTTGCACTTTTTTACATATCAGATGTTTTCTAGATAATAGAAATTTAGGGTGGGAAAAATTATGTGTCACTTAGAATAATTACATGAAATTTTTCAAAAAGTTTATTAATTGAAAGTGCATCTGATATTTTTTATGTAAGTTACTTTATTTTCTAAAAACAAATGGACACAACATAGATTGACAATAAGATATTGAGAACCACCACCTTGTCAGCCAGGATAGCAGCTCTTAGGAAGATGGTCAATTAAATCTTCAACCAAGTCTGACTCTTTACCATGAAAATAGAAAAGGCAAGTTTAATTCAGCCAGATCTTTTAAGATAACAGACCCTTCTGAAATATTGCATTTAAAACACCATTGATGAATTAATTTACCAGTTTAGTATTTAAAGATACAAGATACATGAACAAGATTTTCTATTAAAATATCAATTGTAAATCCTAAAAATAGTCATTAAACTTCAAGAAAAGACCAGTACAATTTAAAACACGATTTTGCATTCAATGGGAGATAACTCTGTAAAATATTCAGATATTTTTTGTGCAGTTAAATTTAAATCTGACGTTTTTTTACTTTTCTATCTTTTATATTGATTTAAAAAAAATGATTCTATACAATTGTCTACCTGCCATAAGAAATCAACAATATTTAGTAAATTTTAGGTTTCGGTAACATAAATTGATTTACAAAATGTATAATGTGTTGATTATAATTTCATTTCAGGTTCTTTCTGAGACATGTTTTCATGGTGTGGGAATAAGACTTGGTGGTCTTATATAGCTAATACAAAGGTATGTACCAGTATGTTAGTCCTGTTTTGGAAAACTCAAATGTATTATAAATATTTTTTTGGAAAAACAAGATTTGAACGCTTAAAAGATTTTTTACTGGAATCTACTCTTATTATTATATTAGTAACCAAATAAGAGTAAAGTTTAGGATCTGAATTGTTTACATAAAAATGTGTTGGCTTGTTGGATTGCTGTCTCATCCATATGTTCTTGACATATATAACACATTTTAAGACTATTTCTATTTAATGATTTGCCACTGGACCTTAAGCAACCAACAACCAATCATTCAATCTATTCAATATACATACATAATACCAACAAAGAACCTTTTAAACAGTTTTTATACGCCCGTTTACGGGACGTATTATGGTATACTGTTGTCCGTCCGTCCATCTGTCGGTCAGTCGTCAACATGTCGGACATTAACTCCAAAACGCTTTAACCAATTTGCATAAAACTTTGGTGAAATGTTTATATCTATTGACGTGAGCTCCCTTTTGTTTTTTATAAATTTTAGATTTTACGTTTCCGAGTTATGGGGTTTTATTCATTAAAAAAAGGGGGGTTTTCCAGTTTTCGGACAATAACTCAAGAATGCTTTCACCAACTTGCAAGAAATTGTGGTGAATTGTTTATATCTATTGACATGAGCTCCCTTTCAATTTTTATAAATTTTAGACTTTACGTTTCCGAGTTACAGGGTTTTATTAACGAATTATCATTTTATATTTCAGGATAGCATCACAGCTTGTCTGTAAGGATTGAAGCTGGGAGTGGGCATTGGAGCTGACTTTTATGGTAAGAATCAATACATAGATTTATGAACTTTTCATCCAAGAGCATTTTATTAAAGCCCAAGATTTTTGTTAGGCACAGATGTAAATCTTACATATTAATGTCTTCTTTACTTATAGTTGAATAAACAATTTAGAAGGAGATATAAAGATATATAAGGGAAGTCAAAAAGTATAATGTATTATGCGAAATCTTGGGATTGCAGTTTTTTTGTTATCTATAGTTGTCCCCATATATGAAAATATGTAAGTGTGGTATGTATGCCAATGAGACAGCTATTAACCAGAGACCAAATGATGTGGATGCAACTAAATGTCACCCTATGCCTTCAACAATGAGCAAAACCTATATTGTATAGTTAGCCATAAAGGTTCAACATGACTAAATGTTAAAAAATTCAATCAAGTATGTTAATAGCCTGATATACTATATATAGCTATAAAACAATGTTAAAAAGATATTTGTCAAGACATCAGCCAATGACTTGTTTTTTCATCCTTATATTGTAAGAAATACTGGTACTTTAAAATTTATGTCAACAAATCACTTTATAACAAAGAAAAAGAAATGTTCTATACATTATAATTGTAATGCTCAGTCAATTAAGTCTCCCAAACGAAGTTTGGAAGACTTATTGGTTTTGCTCAGTTATTATTATTATTATTTTTCTTCCTCTTCCTCTTCCGCCGCTTTTAAATTTGAACTTGTCCGCACCCGTTCTCCAAAACCGCTTGTCAGATTAACTTAGGGTTTCACAATATGTTAGACTAACATGTCTAGTGGTACAATCAGGGTTTTGTTTGTGCAATGGGGTTTATAAAGGGGTACTTTGAGGGGCAAAAAGAAAGGAGGGTTTTACTATAGAACCCTATGGGATTTTATTTTTTTTAATTTTCAAATGATTATAAATTGAAAACCGTTTCTGATAGACACAATCTTTTTTTTTGAAAATGTTCTAAATGATAAAGCACATTAAATGAAATACAGGGTTAGTCCCCAGGGGTCACCCCCACCCCCTGCCATTTAAGAAAGTTCTAATATCTTGTAAGTGGTCAAGATCCCCACCCCTAAACCATATATATTCTAGTTTGTCATTCTAATATGGTTTGAATGATATATAGGGTTAGTCCCAAGGGGTCATCCCGACCCCCTGCCATTTGAGAAAGGTCTAATATCTTTTAAATGGTGGAGATCCCCACCCCTAAACCATATATATTCTGGTTTGTCATGATAAAGCACATCAAATGAAATACAGGGTTAGTCCCCAGGGGTCACCCCCACCCCCTGCCATTTGAGAAAGTTCTAATATCTTGTAAGTGGTCAAGATCCCCACCCCTAAGCCATATATATTCTGGTTTGTCATGCAAAGATGGTTTGAATGATCTTCCGGGTTAGTCCCCAGGGGTCATCCCGATCCCCCTGCCATTTGAGAAAGTTCTAATATCTTGTAAATGGTCGAGATCCCCACCCCTAAACCATATTATTCTGGTTTGTCATGATATAGCACATCAAATGAAATACAGGGTTGGTCCCCAGGGGTCACCCCACCCCCTGCCATTGAAGAAAGTTCTAATATTTTGTAATTGGTCAAGATCCCCACCCCTAAACCATATATATTCTGGTTTGTCATGTGAAGATGGTTTGAATGATATACAGGGTTAGTCCCAAGGGGTCAGCCCGACCCCCTGTCATTTGAGAAAGTTCTAATATCTTGTAAATGGTCGAGATCCCCACCCCTAAACCATATATATTCTGGTTTGTCATGATAAGGCACATCAAATGAAATACAGGGTTAGTCCAAAGGGGTCACCCCCACTCCCTGCCATTTAAGAAAAATCTTATATCTTGTAAGTGGTCAAGATCCCCACCCCTAAACAATATATATTCTGGTTTGTCATGATAAAGCACTTCAAATGAAATACAGGGTTAGTCCCCAGGGGTCATCCCGACCCCCTGCCATTTGAGAAGGTTCTAATATCTTGTAAATGGTCTAGATCCCCACCCCTATACCATATATATTCCTGTTCGTCATGTCTCGAACATTCGAATGAAGTATATGGTCAGTCTTCAGGGGTTCCCCCCACCCCCAATGTTCCAGTATCTTGTAAATGGTCCAGATCCCCACCCCTAAACCATACATATTCCTGTTCGTCATGTCTCAAACATTTGAATGACATATAGGGTCAGTCCCCAGGGGTTCCCCCCCACCCCCAATGTTCTAATATCTTGAAAATGGTTGAGAGTCCCACCCCTAAACCATATATATTCTGGTTTGTCATGCCAAGATGATTTGAATGATATACAGGGTTAGTCCCAAGGCATCATTAATGCATATAACTTTACTGGACCAAACCAATTTTCACTGGACTTTACCCAATATCAGGCGACCCTTGGAATTACGAATTATGGGAGCTTCGTTTGGGAGACTTCGTAACAGCATCCTGTTACAATCATTTCTTGTTATAATTGTTTTGCAGTAAATATTATTTCAATGTTCATGAGTAATGTATATTTCTTTTTTAGATAACTGTGGCTGCATAAAATGGTTGTGTGATATAACTGCAACAGTAAAGAATGTAATTCAGACTATTTTTGTGTATGCTTGAGAAAATGTTTATAATTTTTTTACAAAAAAAAAAAAAAATATGTAAAGATTCTCCATTTTCAACAAGATTGGAAGTTGTAGGTTAACTTGTATTTGACATTCCAAAAATTCTTTCTATTATTCGTTTATACTTATGTCTAGTCAAAACACTTCCCGCATTTTAAGAATGGATAATCTAAAAGAAAAAGAAAAAAAAATGTTCAATTATTGAAATGTATTATTTTTTTGCAAATTGTAATGTATATATTTTTGCCATCTTTTTGTTATTTTAGGATTTGAGATACTTTCAAATTTTACAAGTTACTTTATACATGTAGTTAATGCAATTAAATCTGCCGATGTGAATATTCCCACTAAATTTCTTAGCAAAAATTTTAATTATTTTTTTTTTTTTTTAGCAACGTTTCAAATTACCTTACCATAGCAAATGCCTCTCTAGTGTAAACTAAAAAGATGAATAATGGTCTGCAGTAAATATATCCCCTTACAACCTTTTCTTTCATGTTAATTTTAATATCTTTAAGATATGTGACAAGGGTGCTCTAATGCAGAGGAATTTACGAAGTTAAGAAGTTAGAAATATATTTTTTGCACTTTTTTTGTCATTTTTAGCTGATTTTGGTTTGTAACCAAGGTGATATTTTTTAAAGAATAATTTTACAAAAGGCATAGTTGAAGAACATCTTGTTGAAATTGGATTGGTTGATTTTTGGTGTTAAACACCACTTTAACATGATTTACTATAATTTTGGCTGTAAATTTTTATTTGTGGAGACAGCCAGAGTGCCTGGTGAAAACATCACCTTCATCAGGGAAACTGGCAAACCTTAGTCAAATTAAGAATGAAGTTACACATTTCATGTGAGGGTTCTCAGTGTTGACAGGCTAGTGATACAGTAGTTGAACTACTTATAGGACCACTCTGCCACCATAAGTCAATCAGTACGAAATATGTTATTGAAATGTGTTAGATTTTTGTTATCAATCTATTTTTTAATTTTAATTGTACTATCTTATTTATTTTGTTTAATATAACAAGGATGTGGAGTCCGAACAGGGTGAAATTTGGGTCAAAGGGAGGCAATTTATTATACCCCTGTTTAACTCCACATACTTGAAATTCCCTCAATGTTAGGATTTTCATCTAGTACTTGGATATTCATGTTTGTACATTTTTTTTTAATATCAGATGTATACTAGCTAATATTGACTATTATTTAGAGCTCTGTAATAAAAAAAAATAAATGTAAGCAGAGCTCTAGATAATAAGTATGCAGGGTGGGAGAAATCTTGGGTCATTAACAATTGATTTTCTGAAATTTTCAAGAAAGGGGATTTATTGGAAATGCATCTGATATATGTAATGTATAAAACTATATTTAAAAGAAAAAGATGTTAAGATGATGAGGAGAGCCACCTTGTCAGCCAAGAGAGCAGCTCTAAGGGAGATGGTCAATTTAATCTTCACCAAGTCTGAGGCTTTACCATGAAAAATATGTGGTAAGTTTATATATTCCACAAATTTTATGGTAATAATATATATATAGGCATTTAACATTATTTTTTAAAGGTTCTTTTCTATCAGTGTTTGATTTTTAGAGTCTTACATTTGTTTTCTGTCTGGTATCGAGTGAGCTGTGTTGGATAGAAACCAACTGTATGCAAGTTATTATCAATGAATTTGTAAACTTATTTGGGTCGAACAAATTTTTATTCAAAGTCTGTAACTGTTTGAATATTGAATTGATATAGAATCATTTTCATAAAAGCGTGGACAAGACGATTTCTTGGCTCTCTTATGTTATCTATTGACTGGGTCAGATAAGGTGAAAGTTTGTCTGTAACGCCCACTCGTCACATTGAATGTGTTATAGACATTTAAACTTGGGTCGCCAAAGGTTCTAAATGCCTACATCAAATAGTATGAATTACTAGCAGAGGACTCAACCTTGTGTGTTGATTTAAATGTTGAATAATTATTTTCTTTTTTTCTTCTCTTGTGCCTACATGTACTTTGCTCTTTTATTCTATTTGAATCCCTATTGGAAGGCCTCTGACAGACTGAGTGAGCGTAAAATCACTGTTATCAATAGCCAATGGCAAACAAGTTAAAGGTACTGTAAATTCAGAAACTATTGCATGCAATTATTAATAAATAAATTTGGTGTATTTACTGTCTTCTGATTGGTTAAAAGTATTACTTTTATTTTCAATGTTGTCAATTTTTATGGCGACACGCCCACTCTGACATTGTATATTCATACGCCAACATCCGTGTACGTTGTGATGGTTAATATAAATAATATAAAAAGTTCTTTGAGCCTTATTTTTGATAGAAATTTATTTATAATATTAATGAATGGCTATAATTTATTTTGAATTTATTGAACCATAAAACTAATTTTTGACTCTCCACATTTTACATAATCCGCTTCGCGGATTATTCAATGTGAAGAGTCAAAAATTAATTTTATGGTTCAATAAATTCAAAATAAATAATAACCATTCATTAATTGCGATTTTGTAATTTTAGACTAAAATGCGATTTTAATTTTTGCGATATTGAGAAAAATCCTGTTTAATTCATATCAAAAAATTCAAAATGCTAGTTTAAATTATTGCCAATACAACCATATTGCATTTTTCACAATAATAAAAACATTGCAATAGTTTCTGAATTTACAGTAATTGAGTTAGTATTATTAGCAACATAAGTATTGTGGTTGTCTACGCTGTTATGAAAATGATTTTAAGAACCATCAAAAGAGAACAAAACCATCCGATTTTGTAATTGAATATTCCAAAATCATTGTCTTATACATATACGTGCACTTGCATAAGGTAAATTTCTATCTCTAGCAGTTTAAAGTTTATATAGTGAAGATGATAATGTATAACAGGTTTTAATAAATGAAACATAGCATTATTTTGTTAGTCTTCTTAGAGACGGATTGATCTGTAAAACAAGTACCCGGTAATAATTTTTTTATTTTTTTTATTTTTAGGTTGTTATAATGATGATGTTTTCATGGTGTTGGGAGTAAGACTTGGATGTCTGATATTGTTAACATGTTGGTAGGTAATCAAGCATCTTTTTAGTAATATAATATTTGAAATCAATTTCATAAGGTTCTTTAGTACCAAAAAAATAATTTTACACTGATGAGGTACCGGTTGAATTTTTTTGGTAAATATAAAACTCAGTTTATAATTAAGAATACCAAATATTTTTCCCATGATTTTTTGTTATCCTAGTGCAATTTTAAATTTAGTACATGTGAATAATTTTTTTTAGGAAAGTTTAGTATAACTGACTACTTTTCTATTCCAGGTTAGCATCAGGTTTCCATTGGGTTACTTGCTGGGATAAAGCTGTTATAAGGTGAGAACTTATTCATCAACATACAACTTTAATGTGTTTATGTTATAGTGTGATGAATGTCACTAAATATATTTCAATATATATATTTTTTTTTAATTTACAATTAAAAAAAATCAGTATTCAATCTTTTCATTTTAAAATAATGTACCCTTTAAAGCAGAGATTAGATCTGAAGAAGATATATGAAGGGGAGATAACAATAAAATCGGATATTTTTGATACTATTATATTTTTGAGTAATCAATATAAGTAATAAACAAATTGTTTAACATACACTGACGCAGGGCTTCCAAAATTATTTTTAGCCAGCCGGACATTTTATATATTATCCCGATTTTAATCCCTTGAGACTAAATAAACAAAAGTCAATTATGGTAATCAGTTGCCGAGTTGGACATCCCAATGATTGACATTAAAAAAAACCGATATTAAACTTTCTTTGATTCAAATTCGAAGTTCTGACGTAAACTGTTAAATTGGCAGTGCATCATTCGAAGTGTGCAACATCAGCGTACTTATATCTGCCTTAGACTCTTTATTTGTGCAAAATAACTTTGTCAACTTTACTTTCGTTTTTAAACCGGATGTTATCTTGACAATGGTAAAACATGGACCAGAGACGGAAATGTAAATTCCGTGTACGTTTGCAAAGCATGAATGAGTGTAAGTAGCTCTTTCTACGTTATTTCTTCAAGAAAATATTCGAAATAAACGTGAGATAAAGGTTAATCAATGACAACTTAAGCATTTTTTATACGCCCATCAAATTTTTGACGGGACGTATTATGGTATACAAATGCCCGGCGTCCGTCCGTCTGTCTGTCCGTCCAGCTTAAACATGTCGCACCGTAACTTGAGAATGACTTATCCAAATTTCATGAAACTTAACATAGTTGTTTCTTATGATGGTCAAAGATCTGTATACTTTTTGGTGAAAATAAGATTAAAACTTTTTGAGTTACGGGACTTAGTAACTAAAACAGGTGTGTGGTTTTTTTTCACATGTCGCGCCGTATCTCAAAAACAATTTATGATTATTGCTTAAAACTTTACACACTTCTTAGTTATATTAACCTTAAGATCTGTATACTTTTTGGTGATGATTCAAAATTTTATTTTTGAGTTTTTGAGTATTTTGTAAAAAAAGGGGGAGGGGTTTTTCACATGTCGCGCCGTATCTCAAAAAACGATTTATGATTATTGCTTAGAATTTTACACACTTCTTAGTTATATTAATCTAAAGATCTGTATACTTTTTGGTGATGATTCAAAATTTTATTTTAGAGATATTGAGTTTTTTGTAAAAAAAAAGGGGGTTTTCGCATGTCACGCCGTATGTCAGAAACTATTTATGCTTATTGCATAAAAATTCACACACAAGACGAAGGGCGTATCATGCGCTCATGGCGCAGCTGTTTATTGAAGAAATTAGGCTGCATAATTAAATTTCACACCTGCGCACATGCGCACACGTGTACTAGTTCAAACATGTCTCTGGTTCAAACAACGTGGTTATGACGATTTTTCCATTTCACCTTTTTAATTTTTTCATCAAATCATATTTGTAAACGTATTTCTGATAATTTAAATCTTTTTGACTACATTAATTAGATGCAAACCGCTGAAATGTAAGAAAATAACTTTGAATAGACCGATCAATGTCCGGTTCAAAATAGTTTACCTGTCACCTGAACAGGTAAATTTTAGCTGTTCGACAACTAATTAGCCTTGATTAAAATGAGAAGGTATTAAAGTAGGGGTTGTTTTGATAGTACTTAATGATCATGTCACTTTTATGACCGGAAATGTGTGGCTGTTAAAGGCAAAAGGTTGGGTCAAAAAGATCGCGAATTATGTTAAAATGACCGTCTCTTAACAGCTTAAGAAAGCCTTGAAAACTAAAAAGTAGATGTCCATTTCATGCTTTGCCCAGCCGGACTTTTACCGGACAGTATACAAATGTCCGGAATATATGACTGTTTTGGAAGCCTTGCACTGATGTCTGTTTCTTTATTCCTGTTAGATTATTTTAAAATTAAGAATCAACAATTGAAATTTAACTTTGTTTCTTTTTCAGTTGAAAGAGTTGTTGTTGCTGCCTTCCTTGTATGGTAAAATCCTCAGACTATAATCCTGCAAACCATTGGATGAACTGTTGCTATCTTTTGTAAAAAAATCAGCAGATATTTGTCTCATAAGCAGAATGAATTATAAATGCAATTAATTTTTAATGCTTTATTATTCAAATTATAAATATTTATTTCATTATTTTTTCTTGCATTCATTTATTGTTTTGTGATTGAAGAAATATAAAAAAAAACTGTGAAATTATTCTTATTTGAGAGGTCCCAAAGGTATGATGTATGGTTTCACAAGATACCCATAAGACTTGCTTCCGTTTACATATATTTTTTAAGTTATGTACACTGGTTAAGAATTATAAGTCCTTTGTGAAATGATTTTTTCTGGTTAGAAACCTATTAAGTAGGACTTTGATGGCCAAACACTAAAAGGGAATAAAACAAATCCCCTATTAAACAATTTAAGTACTGAGTTTTTGGTGCAATATGAACTAGAAATAAAGATGTTTAGTTGGATGGTGTTTTGACTCTGCATTCTTTACATTCATACAAATTAATGGCTGTCAGTTTTATTCATTGGTTTTGTTTATATATTATAAATGCATTATTCAGCATCTGAGACCACTCAAATGAAAATTATTATATATATAATTACATAGTTTTTGCAGTTTGTCATATTTTCTCATTTTTGTGTGATTGATTTCTATATTTTTTCTCATTTATGATTATTTATATTTTAATGTTTGATTTTTGAGGCTTGTACTCGGCTTCTAAACAATTACCTCCCCCCTCCACATGTATAACAAGGATCCTGTAAAAGAAGTTTTGATTTTGAAGGATGGATGGATAATTAAAAATGCAAGATTTTTTTAATATGCTAGTTCATAATGTAAAAGTCTGCACAAGACATCTAACCCTACCTGAACACATTATTCTGACTTCCAGCTGACCAGTCTTTGCTCCTACTCCTAATTGCTGAATGCTTAGCAGGGGAGCATCAAATACCAATTTTCAATTCTTTGATATGACCCAGGGCAGGACCAAATCAAATGCCCATCTGCACTCATGTTGAGCATAAAAAGGTTATTAAAGAAGATTTGTCTGTCTGTTTGTCCATCATCATCTCTCATCCACAGCTTATAAACTATTGGAAGGTTTTCATTTAAACTTTCAGATTACCTTCTGTATCTAATGGCTGTGTGTATTTTATTTTATTATAATGAAATTTTGGGGTTCTTAATTGTAATGAATGGACCTCCTAAATATTTGAAAAAAAAGGGAAAGAAGCTTCTCATTTCACCATTTTATCATGTGAAGGATAGGTTGGTTCAAATATATTTGTTTTTAATAATATTTTTGGTAGTTGGATCTCCTTATGACAAAATTTTAATGACTTAAATTCAAAATAAATTTGGCGTTCACACTGATATATATTACCACTGTAGCTTTAATGTAAATTTTATAAGGCTTTGCTATAACAAGATTTGTGTTTTATCTGGTTTTATCTGATTTTAGTGGTTTTTATGTGATTTTATTTGTTTTTACTGTCAAATCTTGTTATACCAAGCCTTAGTATGATTGAGTTTATATATTTTGATTATACATGCAATTCAAAATATAAATTTACATAATGAGATCAGACATTTATTATGCTTTTAACTCTTCTAAGTCGATAAAATAGAAAAATGAATGAACATAAATATTGAAGTGGTCGTTGAAGATTGACCAAATTACAAGATTTATAAATGCAGAATCTTGCTCTTACTAAAGCTGTGTTCTTATCAGCTGAACCAACCTATCATTCAATATGAGTAATAAAATTTTATAAATGGAAAAGTCCATTCTTCGATTGGGGAACCTTTGGATGTGAAAAAAATATACACAATGCCAACAGATACTGAAGATTATTTGAAAGTTTAGGCAAAAAAAATTCAATCCTTTAATGTGGTTGGAAGTTGTAGACGGATGAGCAAACAGATGATATACTTGCTCACTATGGCACATTTCCTAAAGGATATGGACTATGGGTATGGGTTTTGCTCATGGTTGAAGGCTGTAGGTGACTGATAGTTGTTAAATTCTATGTCATTTGGTCTCTGGTGGAGAGTTGTCTCTTTGGCAATCATATCTCCTCTTTTTACTTTATATGAAATAATTACTTATTTCTTCCTGGGCAAAAAGTTCTGGTTCCAAGAAAATAATTAAAAAAATACTTATAGCATACATGTTTTGTTAAATAACTATCCTACTTTGATATAAAGAATTGACTTTGGTTAGAAATTGGGAGGAATTATAAAGAAACTTTATATACAATATAAGAGCTTGGGGTTATAAATGTTTAATGAAATGCAGTTAACTATTTCCTTGGTGATCTAATAATTTTTGCACAGATCACGATATTAGTTTATTTAAATAACCCAGTAAATAAATTGAGTACACCTCATAAATGAATTTGATTCATGTATTTTTATGCATTTTTTATCTTAGTATTTACCATTGTATTCGGGTCTTGTTATATTTGTAAATGCCTCTTCGTATGTGACAAACTGAGGATTCATATATTTTATGGAATTATATAAATTTTTTTTAAGTTTGTTATTTAAAAGTATTGGAAAGCACCAAGTTTAATATTGAGCAAAAAAAATATTCCTTTAAGACCTAAGGATATTAAAATTTAAGACAATGTATCTCAGAACAGAATTGATTTTCTCAATTCTATTTAAAACAGCTAGTCTGGGAACTGGTATCAAGAAACTAAAAAGAATCCTCAGCTCTGTCAGTTATTTTGTATAATTGTAATATTTAACCAATGATACCTTACCCATGATGCAGATCCTTTTCCTCCTTTTACATATAAAGGGACTAAAAACTTATTATTATTACAATTTCTTTGGTATTTGTACACACTTGATGGAGCAGAATGGGTCTGGTTTCATTTGGGTATTTTATATTATGATGCATGATAATGATATAAATAAATAGGTAAATAAAAATTTAATTGAGAAAACCTATCTTATAGTTTATTTGAGTCTGAATGACAAATAAAGGGGGAAGAGGTTTCTGTGGTCAAGGGTAACACACAGCTGATTTATTGTATGGTATGGATGAAGTTCAAAAAGCGAGACTTGGGCATGCTTTTTCCATAAGCAGCAGCTTCAACAATGTATTTGATTGTGATAAGTTCAAGTTAAAGAAAACAACTAGTGGTAGGTCAATGATATTTGGTATGCAGTTATATAAGCTTTGAAACATCTTACTTCTATGGAGATTATTTTGCTTCTCTCCCTCAGTCATAGTCGACTTAAAACTTTTAATTAGTTTACATGTATAAGTTTGTGATTAGGTCAATTGAAAGGGAACTATAAGTGGTATGTCAATGATATTTGGTATACAGATGTATAAGCATTGACAAATCTCAGTTCCATAGAGATTGTTCAGGTCCAGCCTCAGTCATGGTTTATTGACTGAATGTTTTGCATTATTTACATGTGATTTGTGATTAGATCAGTTTAAGATGAGTGACTAATATCTGATATTTGGTATGCAGTTGTATTGGCATTTGCAAGTCTCATTTTCATAGAGATTATTTGGTCCCACTTCCTTATCATAGTTCATGGACTTTGAAACTTTCACAGTTTAACAAGGAACCAATTGATAAGTCAATGGTGTTGGGTATGCAGTTTTATAAGCAGTAGCATTTCCATGGTGTTTTTATTTTGCCCTGAACCGTCAGTCATGGTTCATTGCATAGATAAGTTTAAATATTGAATTTAATTTCAACATTTGCATTATACCACCAAAAAACGCAAGACATATCTCTGTGTCAACAGTTTATATTTCCATCTCTTGGTATCTTTCAACATCATGTTTTGAGTTTTAAATGTCACAGAAACTTCTTTGCTAGTTTAAACAAGACGACACAAATGATACTTAGGAATTACATGACAGAAATGTTCATTGGACTTGCTGATAACCTGATTGGCTGCCAAGTCTTTAAATAGATCTAGAATTCTAAAATGATCTAGTTTATATAAAGGCTCATCAGATACAAAACACAGGGATACAGATCTAGCAGTGGATGCTCCTGATATAAAACTTCATAATCCAGACTGAAGAAGAATGAGTTAATCCATATCTTGTATGCAGTTGCCTTATGGTCTGGTTTAATCTGGCATATGAACATTATCTTGATTCCATTTTAAGGGTATGTGTACATTATTTGTTTTCAAATTAATTTGACAGTTTTTATGTGTAATAAGGACATTTAATTTTCTTATGGTTATTGCCTGTGATCTATTTCTCACATGAAGAGAGACATTTTGTATCACATTGCATGGATTGGGATAAGAAAAAGGTTTACGAAAAATTTGTTAATTTGAGTGGCTTATCCTGCACCATTTGGTCATCATTTAGGTTCCATGATTTGGTCTGTTCTCGGTCAGATTCTCTAGGTCAACAATGTATGGTGTACAGAATGATTGTCATGTGAATATGATTGTCTGATGAGATACATCTGACCTTGGCCTTTTTTTGGAAGTGTGAACAACATTAAGTTTTTATAGACTGCAAAACTTTTGCCATTTAATTTTATAATGGTGTGGATATGTCGTCATTGAGGTCTGTTGACATATATTTTCCAGGCAATAACGAGTATAAGTGTATAGATCTCAAAGAAATAAAACCACAAGGTCCCATACCACAAAAGGAAGGTATGAATTGAATTTGGGGTTATTGTCCTAACAGTTTAGGAATAAAGGTTAAAAAAAAAGATTTTCCAGGGATTCCAGACCATAACTTGAGAATAAATCCATGGATTTCTATGAAATTATTATACAAGATTTCAAACCAAAAAGGGAAAGTTGGAATTGATTTTGGTGATTAAGGCCCAAATTGTTTATGAATTAGGAACCAAACAAACACCAATACTTTGTATACATTATTTGTTTCTTGAATAATTTCAATTCGATGAGAATCATGTATTCTTTGGGTTCTTTAATATGCTGAATCTGTTACCATGTTTGTGTATTTCTGTTTTCGAATTGGTCCACATTCAGG